TGATGTGTAGGCTTTTTTTCTCTGTCGAGGGATTTAGAGAGGACTAATTCTGGCACCTTCCTTCCACCGGAGACATCTTTAAGCTTTAAAGTAAAAAAATCGTCTTTATTTAAACTATACGATCTCACTGAATTCACTCCGACATCAAGATCTTGCGCGGTCTCCAAAGGAAAACGTGCCCCTGCCGCTGTCGACTCTGCTATCTGCAATGTTGTTTCTGGAGATGGGAATGTAGGGCAATTATCATTGATATCTTGTATTTCCACCTCCACTCGGTACAACTGTAAAGGTTTATCAATGACCACTTGCAACGTCAACACACAGATGGCGCTTTGTCCGCATAAAGCCTCTCTGTCTATTCTGTCATTCACCACGAGCTCGCCCTTCCCCGCATCCACGCTGAAATACTGCTCACCAGCCTCAGAAGCAACGCGCAGCTTACGGTCAAAAATCTCAGACAGTCCCAAACCCAGATCTTTGGCAAGATTTCCTACCACAGATCCCCGTTTTAGCTCCTCTGGGATGCTGTAACGAGTTTGTCCGTCTATTGTACTCCACAAAAGAAAGAAAAGATGCCACCAAAGCACCTGCCATCTCCAGTCTCGGTATCCTATTGTCTTTGTCATCCCGGATCCGATATAATTATTTCCCAGAGAAGGAAACAAAAGAACGAAATTTACCATCCATGGCTATAACATTTTAATCCAAGGTAAATATCCAAAATCTCCTCACAGAAGAACAAAATTGATTTAAATCTTTTAAGAGCATCGCTTCTCCTCACCCAGCTCATTGCAATATAACAGTTTCGGGTGCTGTGTGTGCATGGGGGAGGGACTAGATCCCTTTGTATGTTTGCACGATTCATTGGTGCACACAATTCATCTATGCTACCCAGTAAGAAGGGAGGTGAGGAGTGCTTTTAAAGACACAGCCACATATGGGGAAAAATTCGATATAAATAAGTAACAGTTTGTGAAAGGAATAACGGGATGGTAGAATATCCACGTTATCATTAATCTTCATGCGAGTAAATAAGCTTTGACAACTACAATATTAAAGTTGTCTTCTTATTAAAACACTTTGTTTTTTTATGATTTGGGTGAAAATGCTTGCAGTAAATGAAAGACGTGTGGCTCCTTTGTAAAAAATTTAAAAGCGTCGCTGTCCGCTTCTGTGGTGCTGAAATGTCATTCTAACAACTGTAGGAAGAGCAATATACAAACGCAGTCTAAACCCAGTAAATGGTTTGTTACAAACACTCAGTCTCAAACCCTTTTGATTTTTTATTTAAACTTGACATCGCAAACAAATATTAGGCAGGAATAAGATCTGAATTCGCTGGCTTAAAGTATTTAAGCAGAGCAAGTGATGATGATGGTGTGTTGCTTAAGGAAATTTGAAAAACAAAAAAACAAACATATTTGCACTATTTAATAATGAAATTACATTTTATGGTATACCAGTATAAATATGTTGC